AAACTTGATTTGTTTTGCTACAAAATGACACCTCAACCGATTCTGTAAGCCTTCTGAATAAATTTCTATACACTTTCAAAGTTGTAAAGCCCTTTTTGAATCACTCTGTATAATCCTCGCCTTTTTATGAAACGCAAAATTTCATTACTGTCTTCGTAAAAGTCTGCTATCAGTCCACGCCATATTTATGTAAGATGAATTTTAATATCGTCCACATATCCATGCCTAGTTCCTGTTTTCAATTACAGTCGCGGTCTAAAATCTTGCATGAATTTCTCATATATCTCGTGTGCTATATCGCTCTTGATTTGAATCCACATAACGCAACTGATTGCCTAATTATCTCTGTGTCTCCCTCATTCGTGGGTTCAAATAGCACAGTAGGGGTCTACTACGTAAGTGATGGATTTTTTAACCATCCTGTAGGTCTCATAGATGTTCCTTTTTTACGTAATTGCCATCGGTTGGGCGCTTGAGGTGAACAGAACATTACAGGGAAGTAATTTTCTTTGGGTAAACCCCATCGTTAATTAATTTAATTCTTCAATGTGTGAGGCACGTCGGTTTTTTGTTTGATGTCAGCGCATCTGTAACTGACGTGCGTTGAGGAGTGAATGTTAAGGTGGTATCAGGAAGGAAAATCCCAGGACGTCAGTAGAATAACCCTCGAATTTGAAACAGCAGCGAAATTTCTGGTTTCGATCTACTAGGATATAACACTTTGTCTTGTAGGTGGTCATCATTCATCTATCCTGAAAATGGAAGCAGCAGGTTCCTCCGAAACATTACTAACCACCGACAAGGAAAGTGTCGTATCCCAGAAGATTTCAATCAGAATTTTCGCCGCTGTGATAACCCCAAAAATCTCATATATTGAGATGTTAATGTCTGTCGTTCTCGAAGTATTGAACTTTGCAACATTTTTGCACAAAACTGCTTCCAAGTTCTTGCCGTCAACGGAAAGTCCGTAGGAGGGGTCGGAGGGGCTGCAGAGAAGGGCGGGTCTTTTCAGGGACAACGCAATTTCAGAAGTGGGGGACAATGTGACGTTTCAGCTACTTAATTACTCTGTCGTAAGAGTTCTTCTGTACCCCAGAACGCAAAAAAATATGCAGTGGAACTGCTTGTCGAAACATCCTTCATCAAGGACATAATTATGAACAATGCAAATGAAATCTCACTATATTAAGCTTAATTACAGATAAGATTACACGCATAGCGTAACAGGTCCTACACTTTTGCCACAAATTGACCTCTGAACATTTCACCAATGACGTCACAGATACGTCTTTTTTTGGGGGGGGGGATTCTCCAAGTAACCACAACAACGAAGGTAACCATAGCAACCCACGTCAATTGGGTATGTTTTACGAAATCATTTCCCACACGCAAAATAGGTCGGTTATGCTCCAAATTTGACAGTTGTTACAATCAGACACAGAAACATGCCAACGCAGATAGTTTGACGACTGACCAACTCGTAAATATGTCTGTCTGTCTGTCCTTGTCTGCTGCATAGAAAATTGTGTTACAGGTTTGCAATAAAACTTATCCAGACTTATTTAATTCTGGTTTGAACGGTTTATCATGCCATATATACGTTAAGCTGACATTTGGTTTTCTATAAAATGGCTTCCATTATTGTCTGTAACTTGTATTTGAAATGTATGTGACTCTGCAGCTTTAACACTAGAACGTTTGAATGAACCTACGAGTCTACACGGTGTCAAAACCAAGAACAATTCTCAGTGTCTTGAAAACCTCAGATCTGAAACAGTGAATTACTAGAACGCAAAATACTCCATTCTTGAAATTCCTTCACCGTGCGTCATAAAATCGATGAAGCTTTTGGATATATACGTTTCTTGGACCAGTATCACGAGAAGAACCACTTACCTAACAACAGCACACGATCTTGAGGTTTATCGTCTCACTTTTGTTGTCACAAACGTACAGACACTTTTGTGTTCGAGCAGCCAACATCCCTCGTACGCGTTTGGGCCGAGCCGTTAGCAGCTGCAGGTTATCCGCTGTTCGGAAGTTGCCATGCGCACAAGGCGATAACCGTTTAAAGGGGATGGCTCACAATATTAGAGCAGTACAGTCTAAAGTCGAAGTCACGGCCACTATTGTTGCAGTATCACATATCTCTGAAACGACACGAAAATTGAGAAAATTACTAAATGAGGAGCGTCGTTACTTGTTTTCTTCACTTAGTGTTGTTAAGGTAGTTAACACGAGGAAATTAAATACAAAATTGGGGCTGGAAAACCGAAATTCTACCGAAGGAAAACAACACGCCATTTTATTTCTGACTTTTATATCATAATATATGTGTGTATGGCTCAGATTTGTACCGATATCTTAATAAAACTGCCTGATGTGGAACACGTAACATGATTTGTTGACGACATGATCAAAATTTGAGGTTAGATTTAAACGTCGGTTATACAGCTTCATAAATATTCGTCCTAGGACAATGGACCATTCAGAATATTAGGTTCTCATTGCGGCGAGTATGAAGTCGGTTGTATTTTGGGTTGTAGGCAGCGTGCATTTCCGAAACGTCGGTAAATTTCTACCAGATTACTCGGCGCTGCTATCCAGAAGACAACCATTATCAGTGAATTAATCATTTGCAAAATGTAAGTAGATTCTGTCATTTATAAATTTATTCTGAACACGCTTCTTATGTGACAAGGAAAAAAAACTCTTTCAGATCATAATTAAAAAATGTGATTGATGATCTGACATCTGGTTGCTCAATTATGCTTCGCAATGAAATTAAGTATCTAGTTTGATTACTGTATGATTAATCACGTGTTTCATGTGATGATCACGCCCCAACAGCATTTATATGCATGAGTTGCATTACACTTGACACGCGTTAAAAGAATTGTTAGGAACATCCCAGGATTAGCGCCAATCTTTCAGATATCTCGAAGTAACATTGACCATGAATCCGTATATTTTAATTTCTGTTATGTGGGTCAACTTATATTTTGTAAGTTTTTTTTTTAAAAAAAGAAGTGCTATTTATCACGGTGGTCTAGCGGTTAGAACGCTGGCCTTGTAATCCTGGGGTCTCGGGATCGATTCCCGGCGGTGCCCGAATTTATAACTTGTGTTGGGCAAGGCCGTGGTCTAGGCAACACGGAGTTTTCCTCCGTGGCATCCCAACAATTACTCCATTCACACACAGAAGAAGGCAATGGCAAACCACTTCTGGATCATCTGCCAAGAACGTATATGAACAGGTCCCAGTCCGAGAAAAGGAGGGAAGGATCCGGTTCATATGG